TGAGTAAACTCGGATAATAAAACAAACAGCTCTCCTAAACTAGACAAGAACAATAAGTAAAACGAAATCAAACACTGGTTAGACAGGGGTAAAAACAAACAAACAAACAAACAAACAAACAAACAAACAAACAAACAAACAAACAAAAAGCTGAATATAAATCCTTTTCACATTTAAACTTGGATAAATCCATAACATTATTGAACCTTTATTTAACAGCATGTACATCCTCTTTTATACTTTAGAATCTAACACATAAAACAAACACAAAAAGGCAACCTTTAATTGAGAGGACCCAAATGCAGATGCCTGTATACGGGACTTAACAAAAGCAAGCCATTTATAGAGGTTGCACAAAATACAAAACAAAAGGCAAACGTAGACTAAGACTTTGCCTGCAGGAAACATAACCTGGAAAGTACTAGCATGGAGAAAGAACCTACGTTCCAGCACCAGACAAGGGCAGATTTGGCCAGTATATACACAGCGAGGGTGATCAGGGAGGTGAAGACAGCTGGGAATACAGGAAGGAAAAAAACACAGGAGTAACAAGACAGGAAGCAAAACAACAATTTAAAACGATACTTTGAGGAGACATTTTTCTTCAGATGTTGATTAGCAAAGTCTTTAGAAATGTATAAACAAAATATTAAATAGACACTATGCAAAGAAGCCAAATTTTAGGAAGTAAATCATCTCTAAGAATCAGAAAGTCTGAAAGTCTGTTGTTTAATCTGAGGTGTTAGCATAGACAATACATACATGACTAAAAGTGCTGGATCACATGCATCACATCAAAGCTACAGCACAATTTTCCCCTTTTAGTTTTTGCCCCTACATATAAAAAGACATAAATACTATAAAGGAAGCTTCAGAATCACTTTCCTATTGGGGGGATGTTGAGCAGGATTCACAAACTTGGATGTCCCCCGTTATCTTGTATGATGTTTAAAGCTTAAGGGGCAGCTTTGGTCTCTTTCACACTGTTGGTCAGAGTTTTCCCATTCTGATCTGCAATAACTGAGGTAATCAGCAAACAAAAAATAAAGTAAAACAACAGAAAAATGGATAATACAGGTTAAAAAACACAATACAATATTATGCTATGGTGTAAATCTAAAAAGTCCAATAAGTAACTATTACTGTAATGTAGCCAAATAAATTCACATTTGCACTGTTTAATTTTGTAATATTGCATTTATGTGTATGTAATTTATGTTATTATTGCACCGTGAAGGCGCTACCTAAAATCATGCCAAAACTTGTAATAGACCTGCCGGTGCACCGTGTCCATTTCACGCTTTCCCTTTCCAAACCATGAAAAAGACACACATGCAGAAGTTGCAGTAAGTTGCATGCTGTAGTAACCGCAGAGTGAGATATTCTATTTCAAGCTAACATGACAATAATCAAGTGAAAGTGTTCAAATGGACATTATTAACACATTTACATCTATATACATAGATGCCACCTAGCTGAAATGTACTCTATGTTTTTTTGTTCAATCCTGACTTCTTGGCTTAATATGTTATCTCGCCCTGCTGGTAATGCAACTTCTACATGTGTGTACATTTCACATTTTGGAGAGGCAAAGCATGAAACAACTACTAACTAGTAGTGAATGTTTGCAGAGCATTTTACTTCATTGCAATGTTACTGTTATGTTATCTTACCTGTGTCTGCAGTTTTATTCTGAATGCCAAAGGCCACAGGACCTCTGATAGTAAATCCAAGGTAGAAGGTAACTTGACGTTTTTTCCAACAGCTGTTTTGCAGATTGGCATTGATCTTAGTCTCTTTACCACCAACTCCTGTATATACTCCGTAGTCTCTTACTACTCCATCAAGTCTAAGAAGGAGCTCTTGGACATCAGGACTTCTGAAGATTTCTTCTTTCTTCCAGTTATCGCTCCAATCTGGTTTTGCTTTCAGATGATTTTCAATAATTGTTCTGTGAACAATTCTTTTCACACCTTCACCTTTTCCAATGAAAAACACAGGAAGAAGATACCTGGCACGAAAGTACTTCTTATATGCATTTTCGTAAGTGTTCTGCATTTGCTGAATTATTTGACTGATGTCATAAACACACTGGCCTTCATTTTCAGGCCAGTACAAGAGAAGGGTGAACATGTGCAGCTCAGGTGGGTCTGTGTCACTTGGGGGCATTTTCCGTCTAAATAGTGTGAGGATGTTGTTGACAAGAG